GAAGTCAAGATGGAGAATTCTAAATTATGTAAACGTAAAGTCTGTGCAAGAAGCTGTAAAAGTTATTGTAGCTTGGTGTGTCCTACATAACTTTGGATATATAAATTATGATTACTGGGATGAATATGAAGAAAAAGAACCAGAGGAAGATGAAGAGGGGGACTTCAGACATGAACAAAATAATAATGATGCCATTGTTAAAAGAATAGAAATAGCTCAACAGCTAAGACGCAATATGTAGATACAATTTAACAAATAAATGACTAGGAAGACTTCAAATTCCTTTATTAAACCTATAAACCAGAACAAATTAAATGGTCATCCTTTTATAATGGGAATGACGAGACAGCTAGCTATACCTCCCAATAATTTCTATTAGGTATAAATGATAAACTGAAAAAAAAAAATCACTTCAACACAGAGGAATTATAATACAAGTTCTCAAACTTTAATAGCAATTTTTTTTCATAATATTTGAGACAAAGAAGCTATTATGTATATCTCAAGTCAACTCATAAACTAAACAAAAAAAATTCACTGGTGGCATAATAATACAAGTTTTATGACTAAAACAGAATAACTTGCTAATTTTCTTCCAAATTAGGAAATAACTTGTACAATAATAAACTACAACAAAAAAATAACACTTCATGGAACCATAGATCAAAATTAGTGTATCTATGATAGAACAAACTAATAATATTTTAATAAAATAATCTTCAGTCTGTATCATCATCATCACTATTTCTCTTTCTTTTTCTAGTTTTTTTACTTATATTTTTTATCAGACTCATCATCTGTTTGTGTCTTTGGTCACTCTCTTTGTTCAGAAATTCCATCATATTTTGAAAATTTCTTTCATTTATTTTTTGATTTTCTTTATTCAATTCATACATTTTTTGTAAAATCTCATTCTTGTTTGGTTTCACTGAATGTTTTATTTCTTTAAATCTATTGGATGTTGAGGGTTGATCATAAATTTCTAGTTCTGGATCTTTTTTTGATGTGGTTTTCACTACATCCACATCACCAGTTTCTTTGGTTGATTTCTTTGGTAGGGAATCTAGCACCAACAAAGGTTCAGTCTTATGTTTATCACCTAAGATGTCATCCAGTTCATCAAAATATGGAGGTTTTATAATTTTGCCCTCCCCCGTTCGTTTTTTTTTTGTCCATATATTTCATGTATGAGGCTTGTAAATTTGCGAATTTTTGACGACATTTTTCCATCTCCAACAAAAAATTCACTCTCATTCATTAATGTGGCAATTTTTAACCAAATACTGTTCTTATTGTTTTTTTTATCATCAAACTCTTTTTCATATCTTTTTCTTAGCCCAAGAAAAATATTGTAGCAGTTCTATCTCTATCTGTTTGATTCTTGCTGGTCTTCCAGATAGACACATCAATAATATTGGTTTGGAGGCTGCTTTGCGGCATATTTTGTGAAAGGTGTTCAAAGTCATGATTGGTTTGGAGGTTGGGTGGTGACTGGGTTTCTACTGTTTGGAGAATGTGCTCATTTTCCATTCTAAAAAGTTGTTGCCTTATTTGCATTGTGTGATTCTTACGAGCTTCCGGATCTAAAATTGATTGTATACCCTTGTTAACAAACATTATTGATATGCAACAAACAATATGTGATCTACCTTTTTGAAGAATTAATGCTGTTTCTACATCCACACTTAGGACCAAATCATCAAGTTCAATATTGATCATATCATCATCAAAATCCATGTTTTGTTTTTCTTTGTCGGAAAAATAGGGACAAAATAAATGACAAAATATTCAGCCAAAACAAAACTAACAAAACAATCTTAATAACCTCAAACTTCGCCGTTTTACCCCCACTCCTCGACTCCACACTTTTTCGTGGTTCGAACCGTTCATTTAGAAGTTTTTGAACCAGAATGAACCGTATTACTTGGTGACGTCATATCATACGCAAGAAAATATATGATTTCAAACCGTTTTGAACACGGTTCATCAAGAAAAAACACCTCATTGATAAATCTCGAATATTGCCGAATGAATTATCAAATACCTAGTTAGTAGAGTACCGAATGCTTATCGAATCGATACGATACGAGTTTATCAAATTGTTATTCAAAACTTAACGACCGATAATACTTTATTTAGTGGGATCCTCCTCCTGGTGAGATTGAGTTGGAACTACGAGTTTTCTTAGCCTGAGATGTATCTGGTAATTTTCATTTGAACACTTGTGTTGATACCCCAACCCAGTTTTGTTGCGGCTTGGTTGATACCAAACCACCCACATGGTACCTGTTTGTGAATTATGTAAATAGGTACTTAGTTTAACATATGCCCCCCTTGACATAGAAATGCTGAAAAATTAGACATATTTCCCGAAAATGACACCTCCTAATAGAGACTTTACCCCAAAATAGACACCCCCAATAGTGACTCCAATATGGACGTGTAGTACGCGAAGGTACTTTAGCATTTCGTTACCCCGTTATTTTAAGATTTAGAATTTCAAATAGAAATTTAAGTAAAACATGTTTCATTCTCAGAACAGATCGTTATTTCGTTAGCTCAATGAAAAATTTTGTGAAAATTTTTCTCTAGGAGAGAGAGGTGGTGTAGCATTTTAAAATACCACTACATAAACTTATAATGCCCTATAAGTTAATTACGGAGTGCTGTGTGGTGAGTAGAGTTTGAGAACGTTCATCTATGGTTCATCTAAGAGCCCCTGTATGTAACTCAAGGATTCGACGTCCTCAGCACAAAATAATTCAATTTAGCAACCACCACCGCCATCTATACGCAACGCCTCTCACTTCCTAGGTGTGTAACGAATAATCAGACAGTTCTCTTGGTTCTTTTTGTGATATTAATAATCTATTATAAATCTTGTTGAATTCCTCGTTGGTCATCTGTATTTGAATTTACCCGCCAATTCATTTTTGACATAGCACGGAATGATTCCGATTTCCGTCTTCTAGAAGATTCCAGAATTTTCGCTTGCTGACATAGATACAAAGTTCAACAATGGTTCTAAAATTCTGTATATAGAAGTGGTTTCCGAACTTTGTCCCTATGTATGTTTCTTGTGAATGTTTCCTTACGATTACGTAAGAAGAAAAACGTCAACAAACGTTTTTTACAGGGTTCTTCCTACGATCTGGTGAACTCTGGTTCAGTTCTGATAGCCACCATTTGATGGCTAATTCTCATCATCTTTATATTTCTTCGCCACTATGCCATACCGGCAGAGGCACCTGTCTCCGGCCATCGGGAGCAGCTGATTTAGCAGCTGAATAAAACCCGCAACTCCTGCCGCCCCTGTAAACCTACCAGTCTTTCCTGTGGCTGCTATAGAAATTGTCTTCGCGGGACATCGAAAACAGGCCAGAATATTATTTTTCATTTCTCCTTGCTTGCGGCTTCTATGATCTCTATTTAACCTTAAATCAAGTGTGATATTTGACCTTTTATTATTCTCTACATTTTTACACACTATGTGAATTTACCTTTTCATTTAATTATAATACATCTTACTTATTCATTAAATTCAGTCTCAAGGGTTATAATATAAAGGGTGTTATTATTTCACAACTCCCCCATATAGCTGAATATCGGGATAAATGTTAGTTTTATCTATTGAGATAATCTTCAAAACTTTTCGTCTGATTTCTTAGTTTGCAGTACGATTTTCAACAGCCCAAAAATAAACTAAGTGGCGCTCTGGGAATTTTTAACATAAAAAATATCATTCTCTGCCTTTTGAATTCTTCATAGACCCATCTCCCAAATTGCTCTCCGACGAAAAGCACCGTGCACTTATGTAACAAAAAAGAGGGATAAATATTCAATCTTTGGTCAAATTTCATGAGAGTAAAATAAAAATGTTACAAAAGGTGAAATTGAAGGTGTATATACAGACAGAAGGGCATGCTTTCCTGAAATTCCTAATTTGAGACTACGTTATGATGCTGACTTCAGGTCTCAGAAACAAACTGAACATCATACTGGAATGTCAGTTCTACAAAGAATTCCAGGACTGGATATGATTGCCCACTTTCCATTAAGAGGAGAGATTCAACCAAATCGACATGCAGGCCTTCACTAGATGTTGCTATATGGGCTTATGAATGATTCAATTGAAAAACTGATTAAATCATCGTAAAGAAGAAGGTTGGGACTAGGGCCTGGTTATCATACGGAGTCGAAACTCATTTATTTATAGAAGATACAGATTTTTGAAAAACGTAAACATTGAAATTTTTTTGTCTCAAATTGAAATATTTTCGATCTCAGTACAATTGTTGGAAATTCGGCAAGGTGTCACTGGAATATCAGCTCTTGAAATGTTTCCATTCGGACAGGAAGCAACAAAAACGATTATTCTGTCAACAAAATATCCATTCATCCCAGCTGATCTCGGTAAACTCCATTTCTTGAAAGAATGTAATGCAGGAAACTAGGATGTGGTAGTTCAGGCACTACCTGATAGATGGCAGTGTTCAAAATGACAGACTGCGGCAGAGAGGAATGGTGCATTGTATTGCAAGCAGATGGCGCTTAGGAGAGATGATGAATTCAAACCCGTTTACACCGTTGCCAATGTTATACATATTACTCGGACATATTATGAAATCTAGGCGGCGTGATAATACAGAGGGTATTATTCAATTATCTGGGCATATTTCAAGGGGAGGTTCTCCAAGTGTTTGTAAGACGAACAAATCTAATATATCGTCGGCCTAATTTTAAAACCTCGTAAGTCCAAAAATTACCGGAATTCAGATTCCGCTTCATCATGATTGAGGTTACTGATATCTAAGTCCCTGCAAAACCTCGTAACTCTATTAGAAACCCAACGTCATCTGTTCGACTTTAATAAAACCACGTATGTCACGCATGCGTTCAGTCAATATCAAAACCTCGTATGTCTCATTTTTGTGATGGCGGATGATCGTGCATCGTGGTGACCTCCAGAGATATTGCAATCACGGTAAGAAATAGTAGATATATGGTAGATATTTTTATATCCTCGTGAAAGTAAAGTAGCGAAATTGCTTTGATGAGGATTATATGTTTGATTTCTTCAAGTTCTTTATTGTAATCAACCTCAGTTTCTACAGTTGAGAGTTACGAGTTTTTAAAATTATACAATAATTGTAAACATACTCAAACAAGAGACTTACGAGTATTTGAGTGAGTATCTATATTACCTATTACCTCATTCTTTTTCTCTTGTAGCAAAATGTCACACATTGGAAAACCTCCGAAACTTTCGAGATCTGCAAAAATAATACAGATGACGGAAGAAATCAACGCCAAAAGAATTATGGAAGAATCTTCTGGAAATACAGAACGGCCTAAAAGTATCGACACATCCAAAAACGAGAACATTATTGACGATAAAACCTCTTCAGGAGTTTCAGAGACTGATTGGAATCTTGATGAAGAAATAATCCAGTATGCCATCCACTTCGAGAAGAGAATCGAAAATGAATGTATCGAAGGTGAATCTGAGAAATTATCTAGTTTACAAAATCATAATGATCCGCAGAGTGTGAATAGCAAAGCCATTTCGGCTGCAAATCAGGAGAGTGGTGAAGGGTGTTCTTATGATTATGCTGAAAAAGATACAGGCACTGCCCAACTTGCTGCGTTTGATGACAATCTGAAAAAAACAGATAATAAATTTGAAATGATTGGGGACATGAATAAACCAACAGTCGAAAATGTCGTCGATGAACTATCTGATCCAGACTGGAGGGACGATGAAGAAGAAAATCTTTCTGATGTGAGTAGTAGAGATGGAAGTAAGTCAGAAGAAATGGAAATCACAGAAGATATTGTTGGTAGAAGAACTGAAGAAGAAGAACAAACTGGAACACCAGAAGTTCTCAGAAGAACCAGAAAAAAGAGAAGACATGTAAATAGAGAAGAATGGGACGTTTTCCAGCAAAAAATAAAAAGAAGCAAAGGTGAAGAATATAAAGGACTCATCAAGGAAAATGGAAAATGGGTTTTCAACAAAGAAAGAAGTGCAAGGCGATTGAAGCCACCATGTTCATGTGCTCAGAGTAAGAAGAAATCAAAGCTTCATTGTCAACAAATAACAGACACGGAGAGGCAGATAATATTTCAATATTTCTGGTCAAAATCTTGGGCAGAAAAAAGAGAATATGTGAATAGCTTAGTAGATTTGAAACCAGTAAAACAAAGAAAATCGGAATCTTCAAGTTCTCGTAGAAAGAACTCTTTATTTTTTTTCTTGAAGGTACCTGGGGGTAGCAAAGTGAGAGTATGTAAAAAACAATTTCTAAATACACTTTGCATAGGGGAATGGTCTGTATTGAACTGGATCAAAAGCAATAACATCCATAATGATGAGGAGGTTGAAGACACTGAGGAAGTACAGAACAATGAGGAAAATAGAGCTGGAAAAGAAAAGAATAAAGAAAATCAAACTGCATGCTATAATGAAAGGAAGGTGAGCCTTCAATTGAGAAAGAACCATGTAAAGGCACCTGAAACCGAGTTCATGAAAAGTTTTTTGAATAGCCTTCCGAATCTGGAGTCGCATTACTGCCGATCGTCATCCAACAAAATATATCTGGAAACTATTTGGAAATCGAAGAATCAGCTATACAATTTTTACAAAAATGAATGTGAGGAAGAAGGTATATCAGCATTATCAATTGCTTCATTCACCCATGCATTTTCTGATATGAACTATAGTTTATTTAAACCCAAAAAAGATCAATGTGATGTTTGTCTTGGGTTTAAAACTAAAAATATCAATGAATCAGTTTATAATGAACATTTGGAGAAGAAAGTTGCTGCTAGGGATGAAAAAACTAGAGATAAAATGGAGAAAAAATGGGTTTTCACAGTAGACCTCCAGAGCGTCCTCATGGCTCCAATGACCAATGCCTCAGCAATGTACTACAAAAGTAAGCTTGTAGTACATAACTTCACAATTTTCGATTTGAAAAGCCTAGATGGATATTGTTTCTTATGGCATGAAGGCGAAGGTTCTTTAACTGCCAACGAGTTTGCCTCTATAATGCACTCTTTTATTTCTGATCTGGATACTGTACAGGGCGATGAGGTGATAATATACAGTGACGGTTGTACTTATCAGAATCGCAACACCATTATAAGCAACACGTTATTACTGTGTAGTATGACCAAGAAAATAACAATCATGCAGAAATATTTAGAGAAAGGACATACCCAGATGGAGTGTGACTCCATGCATTCTGTTATTGAAAGAAAACTCCGCAACACTGAGATATACACTCCAGCTGGGTATGTTTCTGTTTGTAAATCTGCTAGACATAAGCCTAGACCATATAATGTGAAATATCTCCATTTTGACTTTTTCAAAAAATATTCTTGCTTGTCTTTTTATAATGCTATACGTCCTGGATTCAAAAAAGGTGATCCACAGGTCACATCTATCCGATGCCTGAAATACAATCCAACGGGTATAATAGAGTACAAACTCAATTATAGTGATGATTGGAAGGTACTACCTAGAAGAAGAAATGAGAACGGTCTAGCAGATATACCCAATCTGTATAAGGAGCCCTTGAAGATAGATAAGAAAAAGTTCGATAATTTGCAGGCATTGAAAGGTGTTCTCGAAAAAGACTACCATCTATTTTACGATCAGCTGCCACACAAAGATTCTAAGGCTAAGACTTAGTTACAAAAATGTGTTCTGCATTTATTATTAAAAAAGTTTTTTCCTTCAACTGTTGTTTTTTCATTCAATACATCTACTAACATCCTATTCCGAATCGATTCAAATACTCGTAAGTCATAACTTTTAGGCACTTTCCGATTTCAAAACCTCGTAAGTCAATTCATTGAAAAAATAGACAATTTTTGTCAAAAAACAATGAATTAGTACCTCAGTAGATGGAAAATGAACCATCTCTGCATAATTCCTTGCTTGAATACATTATTCTGTTGAATGAAGTAGTTTTTAGTGTCTCCTGTGAAAACTTTCTGAATTGACTTACGAGGTTTTAAAATTAGGGCGACGATATAAAATTCTCCTGTCACGGTCACGGTCATAGTGGTCGAACTCCTCCGAAACGGCTCGACCGATTCGTATGGAATTTTGTGTGCGTATTCGGTAGGTAGGAGAATCGGTCGTAATCTATTTTTTAAATAGAAAATACAAAATGGCGGATCCAATATGGCGACCGAGTATAGTTATCCGATTTCATTCAAAATTGGTACTCAGGGGTTTTCGGGGTCGGAGATTATGAATATTTCGTCAAATTTTGGAAATTCAAGATGGCGGATCCAATATGGCAGACGAGCTTTGTAATTATGGTCAGATACCATCCAAAATTGGTATCTGGGGGTTTTCGAGGTCGGAGATTATGATTTCTTCATCGAAATAAGGAAATTCAAAATGGTGGATCCAATATGGCGGACGAGTTTTGTAATTATTTTTTTTTATCGCTTGGAGCGCACGAAAGGAAATCCCTATGATGTTCAAAGAACATCGTGCGTTCCTAGGGAGGATAGGGACAGGAGGTAGGTATTGGAGTTTTTTTTTGAACTTCTGGAGATTATATGTTGTTGGGAATACTTCCTCGGGCACTGAATTCCAGAGCCTAGCCGTTCTATGGATGAAGGAGTTTTGATAAAGTGCTGTTCGACATCTTTCGAGGTTGACAACGAAAGGATGTGCTGACTGGGCTTGTGTACTTCGTCTGGTATTGCTAGTGGAGGGATGATAGCCATTTCCCGTGGAAGTATCGATAGAAAAGTGAAAGGTCGCCGACCTTTCTACGGTGTTCCAATGATGTCAAAGAGTGAGTGAGTGTGGCGTCACCCCCACCAGGCGAATGGCTCTTCTCTGGATGGAATCTAAGAGCATCAGCGTATGTTTTGGTGCTGAACAGAACAGATTGGTCAGATATCATTCAAAATTGGTATCTGGTGGTTTTCGAGGTCAGGGATTATGATTTTTTATCAAAATTAGGAAATTCGAAATGGCGGATGCAATATGGCGGACGAGTTCTGTAATTATGGTCAGATTCCATTCAAAATTGGTATCTGGAGGTTTTAGAGGTCGTAGATAATTATGAATCATTTGTCAAAATGGGGAAATTCAAAATGGTGGATCCAATATGGTGGAAGAGTTTTTTAATTATTATGATCAGATTCTATGTAAAATTGGTATCGGGGGGTTTTCGGAGTCGAAAATAATGATCCTTTTATCAAAATTTGGAAATCCAAGATGGCAGATTCAATATGGCTGACGAGTTTTGTAACTTCGCGCACTGTTTTACTTCGCGCATTGTCTTGTGCAAGGTATCATGGTAACGTAGGAAACTGAAAAAAAGTGTCACTTCGCAATTTGTTATCAATGCGCGAACCTTGTCATTTTTTGACGTTTGTAGAAAAAATATATGAGATATTTATATTTCAACTTTATGGTCCTCAATCGAGCAGACATCCACAAAATCATTTATTTCTGAATGTTCAACAATAACTTTGTTTTTTCTCATGGAGCGCACGAAAGGAAATTCCTATTATGTTCGTGGAACATCGTGCGTACCTAGGGAGGATAGGGGGAGACCTTTTAAGCCAGTTCAACACTATTTTTCAAATCAAGCTAAGCATATTTTCACTTTAGAACTATATTTTTTGACGTTTGTATAAAAAATTTTGTTTACAACTCGAGAGCGAAATACTTTGGTCATCTCGACTATTTTTTAAAAATCAGGTCTCGATCACCAAAGTAGCATTTCGCGCTCTAGATACAAAAATAACTATTAATTGACCTTTATTGTTCTTTTTTGACAAGATCAAACCTATATACCGTTTTAATTTCAATGGTCTTATAAAATTGAAAAAAATCGTGATCAAAATAATTAAGCATCTTTATTTTTTGAGATAATATATGAATGACATTCAGTGTAAAAAAAATGGAATTCATAGTCATGATAGATCGGAGATGTCTAATCATATAAAAGTATTCCTGAAAACTAAAATATACAAATCCATTCATAATTTATACAATTCAATTCATGAGAACAATCATATCAACAGTCTTGAAAATAGAAAAGTCCACTCAATCTTATTGATACTCCAATAATTCGAGAAGAGTTGTCAATAATCTTATATATTCTTGTTTTTTTTGGCACAGTTGTGGAACCAACTTCGAACATCTCAGCTTATTTTACTCTAAAACCAATACAAATTCATCGGTCTCAGAGTATAGGGTTATCAGATTTTGGATCCATAGATGTGGCGTGAGGCCCCGGTACAGGACACCTCTAGTCAAAATATGTGACTAAAGGCAGCCATAACCGCCATCCACCACCCCCGTTCCAGCGAAACGGTCCTCACTGAAATTGTATCCGTTTGAAATAACCAATATACTCTTCGTTCAAAAAACTCCATTCATAGTCATGTTATCAAGCTCATGATGGACCGGAAATGTCTATCTTGGATTCGGAATCTAGGTATATAGGTATTTGTTGTTTGCATTGCTTATTTTTATCAAATAATATCTTCTAATGGTAATCTTCGACCATTCCTGTTTTTACCTGTTCAAACGGCCTAGAATTAGTCACTGAAAAATAATTATATAAGTAGACCTGAAAATTCAATCAAACATACAAATTCAGCAGAATTTATTCAATTCTATTCATGAGATTGATAATTATGTCAGCATAGATGGAAATAGGAAGGTACGCTTTTACTCCAATAATTTGAGGATTGTGGAACAAACTTCAAAAGTCTCAGATTATTTCACTCTAAACGCAAAAACATTCGTCCCAAAGTAAAGTTTTCAGATTTTGGATCCATAGATGTGGCGTGAGGCCCCGGTACAGGACACCTCTAGTCAAAATATGTGACTAAAGGCAGCCATAACCGCCATCCACCACCCCCGTTCCAGCGAAACGGTCCTCACTAAAATTGTCTCGGTTTGGAATAACCAATATCCTCTGATTCGAATAAGCCGAATTCATAGTCATATATGATCCATGATGGAACGGACATATCTATCTTGGAGTTGGAACCTATAGTTATATATTCGTAGCTTGCATTGCTTTCTTTCATCAAATAATATCTCCTAATGGTAATCTTCTACTATTCCTATATAACTGTTCAAACGGCCCAGAATAAGTCACTGAAAAATAATTATATAGACCTGAAAATTCAAACATACAAATTTAGCAATATTTATTCAATTCCATTCAAGAGACCAATCTTTTCAGATTGTCAGAATATTGTGGAACCATCTCTTGCTACAGACGATGAGGTTATTCTCCGTAGCTATAGCAATTTGTCTAGTCAGATATCTCTCAGTAATTACAGGATATGGGTTTGTTCCAGCTAGAGGAGCTCCTCCTCCTCTACCATGTGTGCTCCTATATATAGGTTTCTTGCCAGTGGATTCTTTACATTTCGTAAAAGTATGTGGATTAAGGTTTCCTCCTCTTCCCACAGACCCTGCATTCGTCTTCCTCTTCTGAGCCGAGCTTCCTGAGATACCTTCTCAACCGGCAGTGGTCTGTTGTTAGGACTTCCGTTAGTTATCGAAGTTTATTTTTACTTAGGCAGACATATACGTTCGATCTTTTGTGGTTTTATGTACCCAGTAGTACCTTAGCCTGTCTGAGACCTTGAAGATTTTACCAGATGTCTGATCTCCGTTTGAAGGTTTTTGGTTCCACGAAGAGTGTTTGAGCTACTTTCCTAGCCAAGTTTGTCCGCTACTGCATCTCCTTCTACTCCGGAATGTCCAGGAACCCATAAAAGCCAGGAACCCATAAAAGAGTGACTGTATTCCTGTTGGCTAGCTCGTTCATTTTTTCACGGCATTCCCAAACCATCTTTGAGTTGATAACTATATATAACTCATAAAAAAACATTATTCTCAAAGTAGGGTCATCAGATCTTGGATCCATAGATACGGCGTGAGGCCCCTTTTACAGGACACTTCTAGTCAAAATATGTGACTAAAAGCAGCCATAACCGCCATCTACCACTTCCGTTCCAGGGAAACGGTCCTCACAAAAGTTGTATTCGTTTGGAATAACCAATATTCTCTTGGTTCGAATGAACTGAATTCATAAAGTCTTTATATTATCAATCTCATGATTGATCGGTCATGTTGTCTACCTAGGAGTTGGCACATAGGTATACATATTTGAGTTACTTGTATTGCTTCCTTTAATCAAATAATGTCTTCTTATGGTTATCTTCTGAAATTCAAACAAAAAGGATACAAATTATTCATCTCTGCAGCTGCTCATAGTTGAAACCGAATTCTTCATAATTTATTCAATTTCATGCTGAAAGCCCTTTATGTGAGCGGTGGTAAAAGAAGTCCACTCATTCCATCAATACTTCGGTAAGCTGTGATGAATTGTCAGTTCTAATCTCCATCAACCAACTTTATAGGTCTCTTGTTATATTGCTTCACCATTCATACAAAACAAGGGTCTCAAAAGTCATCAGATCTTGGCTAAGAGAAGTATCAAACCTTGTTGAGTGAAATGAATATTGTGGTAAAATACTCAACACTAACTCAATCTCTCCTAACAGTGGGCATATTGTGATCCCTGTATTGATTCGTTGAATCATAGGTGATGAATTATCACATGTTTGAAGTTGAGCTTCTGTAAAATTTGTCCCTTAAAAAGTACCAGAAGTTATCTTATTTTTGTATTGAAACAATATTAGAGTTATAATTTTCATACTGAAAAATTGTATCACCTCTGTTTACTAATTAATGAAAATTTGTAGGGTACATCCAATTTCTTTGGCACATCAGTTGTACAGAACAACTTTAGAAAAGCGCCTCAAGTAATATTTTTTCAAGTTCATACAAAACAATGTTCTCAAAGGTCATCAGATTTTGGCTGTAAAAAAATAACGAAACTTGCTAAATACAGATTGTGATTGAATACTCATAATACTCACTCAATCTCCATGAGTGAGGAATTGTCACATGATAGGAGTTGAACTTTCCTGGAAATTTGGCCTCCAAAAGAATCAGACGTTATTTTTATTCTTGATTGAAACTGTTATAGAATACTTAATAGAATACTTAATGTTCAACAATAACTTTGTTTTTTCTCATGGAGCGCACGAAAGGAAATTCCTATTATGTTCGTGGAACATCGTGCGTACCTAGGGAGGATAGGGGGAGACCTTTTAAGCCAGTTCAACACTATTTTTCAAATCAAGCTAAGCATATTTTCACTTTAGAACTATATTTTTTGACGTTTGTATAAAAAATTTTGTTTACAACTCGAGAGCGAAATACTTTGGTCATCTCGACTATTTTTTAAAAATCAGGTCTCGATCACCAAAGTAGCATTTCGCGCTCTAGATACAAAAATAACTATTAATTGACCTTTATTGTTCTTTTTTGACAAGATCAAACCTATATACCGTTTTAATTTCAATGGTCTTATAAAATTGAAAAAAATCGTGATCAAAATAATTAAGCATCTTTATTTTTTGAGATAATATATGAATGACATTCAGTGTAAAAAAAATGGAATTCATAGTCATGATAGATCGGAGATGTCTAATCATATAAAAGTATTCCTGAAAACTAAAATATACAAATCCATTCATAATTTATACAATTCAATTCATGAGAACAATCATATCAACAGTCTTGAAAATAGAAAAGTCCACTCAATCTTATTGATACTCCAATAATTCGAGAAGAGTTGTCAATAATCTTATATATTCTTGTTTTTTTTGGCACAGTTGTGGAACCAACTTCGAACATCTCAGCTTATCTTACTCTAAAACCAATACAAATTCATCGGTCTCAGAGTATAGGGTTATCAGATTTTGGATCCATAGATGTGGCGTGAGGCCCCGGTACAGGACACCTCTAGTCAAAATATGTGACTAAAGGCAGCCATAACCGCCATCCACCACCCCCGTTCCAGCGAAACGGTCCTCACTGAAATTGTATCCGTTTGAAATAACCAATATACTCTTCGTTCAAAAAACTCCATTCATAGTCATGTTATCAAGCTCATGATGGACCGGAAATGTCTATCTTGGATTCGGAATCTAGGTATATAGGTATTTGTTGTTTGCATTGCTTATTTTTATCAAATAATATCTTCTAATGGTAATCTTCGACCATTCCTGTTTTTACCTGTTCAAACGGCCTAGAATTAGTCACTGAAAAATAATTATATAAGTAGACCTGAAAATTCAAACATACAAATTCAGCAGAATTTATTCAATTCTATTCATGAGATTGATAATTATGTCAGCATAGATGGAAATAGGAAGGTACGCTTTTACTCCAATAATTTGAGGATTGTGGAACAAACTTCAAAAGTCTCAGATTATTTCACTCTAAACGCAAAAACATTCGTCCCAAAGTAAAGTTTTCAGATTTTGGATCCATAGATGTGGCGTGAGGCCCCGGTACAGGACACCTCTAGTCAAAATATGTGACTAAAGGCAGCCATAACCGCCATCCACCACCCCCGTTCCAGCGAAACGGTCCTCACTAAAATTGTCTCGGTTTGGAATAACCAATATCCTCTGATTCGAATAAGCCGAATTCATAGTCATATCATCCATGATGGAACGGACATATCTATCTTGGAGTTGGAACCTATAGTTATATATTCGTAGCTTGCATTGCTTTCTTTCATCAAATAATATCTCCTAATGGTAATCTTCTACTATTCCTATATAACTGTTCAAACGGCCCAGAATAAGTCACTGAAAAATAATTATATAGACCTGAAAATTCAAACATACAAATTTAGCAATATTTATTCAATTCCATTCAAGAGACCAATCTTTTCAGATTGTCAGAATATTGTGGAACCATCTCTTGCTACAGACGATGAGGTTATTCTCCGTAGCTATAGCAATTTGTCTAGTCAGATATCTCTCAGTAATTACAGGATATGGGTTTGTTCCAGCTAGAGGAGCTCCTCCTCCTCTACCATGTGTGCTCCTATATATAGGTTTCTTGCCAGTGGATTCTTTACATTTCGTAAAAGTATGTGGATTAAGGTTTCCTCCTCTTCCCACAGACCCTGCATTCGTCTTCCTCTTCTGAGCCGAGCTTCCTGAGATACCTTCTCAACCGGCAGTGGTCTGTTGTTAGGACTTCCGTTAGTTATCGAAGTTTATTTTTACTTAGGCAGACATATACGTTCGATCTTTTGTGGTTTTATGTACCCAGTAGTACCTTAGCCTGTCTGAGACCTTGAAGATTTTACCAGATGTCTGATCTCCGTTTGAAGGTTTTTGGTTCCACGAAGAGTGTTTGAGCTACTTTCCTAGCCAAGTTTGTCCGCTACTGCATCTCCTTCTACTCCGGAATGTCCAGCAACCCATAAAAGCCAGGAACCCATAAAAGAGTGACTGTATTCCTGTTGGCTAGCTCGTTCATTTTTTCACGGCATTCCCAAACCATCTTTGAGTTGATAACTATATATAACTCATAAAAAAACATTATTCTCAAAGTAGGGTCATCAGATCTTGGATCCATAGATACGGCGTGAGGCCCCTTTTACAGGACACTTCTAGTCAAAATATGTGACTAAAAGCAGCCATAACCGCCATCTACCACTTCCGTTCCAGGGAAACGGTCCTCACAAAAGTTGTATTCGTTTGGAATAACCAATATTCTCTTGGTTCGAATGAACTGAATTCATAAAGTCTTTATATTATCAATCTCATGATTGATCGGTCATGTTGTCTACCTAGGAGTTGGCACATAGGTATACATATTTGAGTTACTTGTATTGCTTCCTTTAATCAAATAATGTCTTCTTATGGTTATCTTCTGAAATTCAAACAAAAAGGATACAAATTATTCATCTCTGCAGCTGCTCATAGTTGAAACCGAATTCTTCATAATTTATTCAATTTCATGCTGAAAGCCCTTTATGTGAGCGGTGGTAAAAGAAGTCCACTCATTCCATCAATACTTCGGTAAGCTGTGATGAATTGTCAGTTCTAATCTCCATCAACCAACTTTATAGGTCTCTTGTTATATTGCTTCACCATTCATACAAAACAAGGGTCTCAAAAGTCATCAGATCTTGGCTAAGAGAAGTATCAAACCTTGTTGAGTGAAATGAATATTGTGGTAAAATACTCAACACTAACTCAATCTCTCCTAACAGTGGGCATATTGTGATCCCTGTATTGATTCGTTGAATCATAGGTGATGAATTATCACATGTTTGAAGTTGAGCTTCTGTAAAATTTGTCCCTTAAAAAGTACCAGAAGTTATCTTATTTTTGTATTGAAACAATATTAGAGTTATAATTTTCATACTGAAAAATTGTATCACCTCTGTTTACTAATTAATGAAAATTTGTAGGGTACATCCAATTTCTTTGGCACATCAGTTGTACAGAACAACTTTAGAAAAGCGCCTCAAGTAATATTTTTTCAAGTTCATACAAAACAATGTTCTCAAAGGTCATCAGATTTTGGCTGTAAAAAAATAACGAAACTTGCTAAATACAGATTGTGATTGAATACTCATAATACTCACTCAATCTCCATGAGTGAGGAATTGTCACATGATAGGAGTTGAACTTTCCTGGAAATTTGGCCTCCAAAAGAATCAGACGTTATTTTTATTCTTGATTGAAACTGTTATAGAATACTTACTCAATGTGTTCTCATAGAATACTGATAGTTATGATTCTCATTCTGAAACATTTTATCTGCTCTGTGTGTACTCGTTTTGAGAAATTTGTCAGGTCCATTCATATATTTCTTTGGCACAGTTGTTCGAAACAACTTCATCAAACGCCTCAGAGGTTATTTTGGCTTCGGAGATCATACAGAACAATGTTCTGACAGGTCATCAGATTTTGGCTATGAAAAAATATCGAAACTTGCTGTCATGTGAAATACAGATTGTGATTGAATACTCAATACTCACTCAATGTCCTCTAACAGTGAGCCTATGATCCTGCATTGAATTCGATGAATTATGAGTGTCATATATACTAGGAGTTGAACTTTCCTGATATTGGGGCCGCCTAAAGAGTATCAGAATTTACTTTCATTCTGAAATCTGAATTAAAATTGAATTAGAATACTTACTCACTCAATGTCTTCTCATATTGGAGAGAATTACTAGGTTATTGAGAGTTATCATTTTCGTAGGGAAAATGTTGTCTCCTTTTGTTTATTCTAGGACAGAACTATAACGAATCAATCACTCGAGCATTCGAAGGTCAATAACTTCCAGAGTTGCATCATTCTCTATTCTAACGTGGTCTGCTGATTTGAAAAGTGGTGGTTCACTTGGATGGGGATGGAAACCAGATTTTTTACATTTACTGATGACTGTCATGCCGTTCGTTGGGGTGAGATTGAAATATTCAATTTGTTTATATTTTGGTGCACAAACAATTGCAATGGCTTCTGGTATCAATAGTTGATAGGAGCAATGGGTATGAAGGTCCACACTGGAGAGGAATGCAGTTTGTGTGGGATGAGTATGTATCCATCCAATGGTTATCAAATCATGTTGCTCTTGATACAGGAGTAGTTCTTCTTCATGGGATGCCGTACATGAGTCAGAAGTGCCTGTCTGCTTTGGTACGATCATATGGGATATTTTGAGTTTATTATTCTCTAATCGCCCTGCCAAAATTCCACAGCATTCAATATTTTCAGATGTATTGTTCTCAGCAATTTTTTGAAAAACAGATGTTAATTCAAAGGGAACTACCACATGTCTCAATATTTGAATACTTTCTTTGTCAGCAGAGTTTACAATCACGGGATTGATGACCTTCGATATTTTCCTTTTCTTCTCTTCTTGCAAAGTTATCGCTTCTGAAATGAATGGCGGATCATTGCATATTCTACCTTTTCCTATATTATCCATAATAATTTCTGGGCAGATACATTCCTTGTAAAACTGTACTAAAAGTGGACACATTTTTTCTTCCCAAAGTTTGGCATCCCTCTCTATCTCCTCCACGAATAAATCAATAGCATCGTTGATATAAACGATGAAGTAACATTTCGATTTTCGCGCAATGTTCAGTTGTCCTTGAATCTGGAATATAAATGAAAAATTCCGTAAAATATAGTGTTCAGTGAACTTGATATTTCTAGATATTGAATATTGATAATAAGCAAGAAATTTAATTTCAAACTTACTTGATAGTAATAGTTGTGAGTTCGTTTCAATCTTATTTGATCATCATGTCTTTCCAAGCATATTTTACTTTTCATAATGTCTATTACTTCATCCAATGTGTGTTTTTTCAGTTCTAATTTACTAGCTGAATAAATACATTTGACTTCTATCATCGAATCTTCACTCAAAACGATTCCTAGAATTGATGTAAGAATTATAATGAATAAGAAACAGATTATGTTATACTGAGGTGTACCATCAGGAGAAGCACCCAAGAATCCATATTGAAGATCGATCCAAAAACCAGAATCCTGGACATGCAGACTCTTTATCCTCTCAAATATACCAATGGCAACTTTCTCCTTAGCTATGCCATAGTCAGTCGCCTCTGACCAAAAGGAACTAGGTTTCAAACATTCCTTCACCATATTATGGCACGACGTGTATGGTCTTCGCTTGATCACCTTACCAAACATTGATGCTGTCAGCCTCAGTTTTCGTTCAGTTTCGAATATCGCATTGCCAAACTGTACTACTGATTCAGTTTGGATTCGATCCCGTTCTGCTTCAGACACCTTAAATGAGATATGAGTTATATAGATCCAAACGAACGTGATTCAAACTGAGAGGTGATAAACATGAGTCTGATATATTGAGTAAGATATTTTCAGAAGTGAGTAATAATCAATTCGAATATTACCTGTAATCTTCTCAGAATCACATCTACTTCTTCGGCCAACAATGATTGGTCAATCATCTGCTGATCAGCGTGAGGTCCATAGTCGGTATTCACATCTCTCTGTTTCATGCTTGAGGATGTTTTCTTTCTTTTACTATGATCATTATTGTTCTTTGAAACAGTTGAAAGTAATCTCCTACGGCATTTCAACTCCTGGGACCGACAATTCCTAGCAATGAATTTTTTGAAATGTTTACCAGGACTAGAGCTCATATAATTCTTGTAAGGGTCAGAATGCCAGTTGAATTGTTTATTGTGTCGTAGTCCAGATAAATGTACTCGTCTCTGATACGAACCCCTCTGAATTAAATTCAATCTTTTCCCTTGATTGAACCTAGAAACTATATTCATTAACCTCTCAGCACGATTGTTATTTTCATTCTCTATTAATAAATGAGCTTTTCTTACGAGGAGATCTAGAGCACCTGAAATGTGAAAACAGTTATTTCCCAAATATTGCTTCTTATGATATGACAAGAAGAAACAGCGAAAACTGAATGAAAAATGTTTCTCACTTTAATTACGTACCATTCAGATGATGATAAATTGTAGTAGATTTGAGTTCAGGAATCATACTGCCTGAGACGTCATGCACAGTATTACATATGCCTTCCCGACAATTGGAATGCTCACCAAACACATGATGCAAACCGTTTCTCAAATCGAAGCGCAGGAGATCAACATTAGAAGTGCCACTTTTAGCATGCTCGTAAATGGAACATTTCGCTCTCTTGGTTAGCAGTTTAATTTTTGAATTTGTCAATAATTTCCGTCCTTTCAAATTGATTTGGGTGTCAGCTTTTATAGTTCTGAGGCGTTTACCATAATTTTTGAGAGCATGGTTGGTGCATTCACATTTTTGGACCTCCTTGCCATACGTTACAGAATTCTGAATTTTTGAAAACACACTAGAGTCTCCATCGCCGATGAACTTCATGTAGCGAACTCCGTGCATTGCTTCACTTTGGTTGAAGCCATCAACTACCATATCCGCCTCCATTGCTGAGGCAGAACCAGACCAATTTTTGTAACATATATGGTCACCGACAGCTTCACCTGCATTTTCAGATCTGGCACAGATGGTACAATATTTGTTCCGTACTCCAACAAAAAGTAATTCTCCAGTATGTTTTCCAATTATTCCTATCATACCCGACAAAGCATCATAATTGGTACCATAGGAACGTTTACTCCAAGATCCATCAACATAAACCGTGATCCAAGGGGTACCATCAGAACAAATTTGACTGTTTTCTATAGCAGCTTGCCTCTCTATTTCCCCGGCAGATTTCATGGATCGTAATAGCGATCCCTCCCATTCCTACGAATGATTCGAATAAAATTCATTACTGATCTCAGTATAGTAGTAAAGATAACTGAATGGTTTCAGTAAAAGAATTCTAAGAATCGCGTCATTTTTATGTAATAAATTCCTAATTTATCTCTGGATTGAGCATGAGCAACTCTTCAAATAAGCGAATAATCTGGTAAGGATTTTTACATACTCAGTTGAGATGGCAAACAATCCATTCATATTATTCATCATTATTCATTTGAATTTTTGTGAAAAAAAGGTTTGATGCGAATTCAAGACTCTTTAGATTATAAAATTTAGTTTATCCTAGTTATACTAGGTAGGTATATATCTACATATTTTCAATCTCTATACTTGAAGGAGGACAACTAGAATAAGTAATATTTACCTTTCCTAGTTAATTTTCTAAACGATGAAATAGCCTTGTAGACATGGTTGGTATGTCCATTGAACTAAGTATCTCGCTCATATGTGTATAAGTGCCCCCTGAAGCCAATGTTCCCCATACTGCTCCGACATTTATTACAGACTTTTCCCGGCTTGGATCCTCAGTGTTGTAACTGAATTGACGATCACAAGCATTGCACACAAATTCTATGGTACTTGTCAAACCATTGCGAGTCTCTCTTTTTACAGATAGAATACCCATTGTACATATTTTGGAATGATTGAACTGAAGTCCAATGGCCCAGTCTAAAACGTAACCTAGTTCAACAATCCGGTTTCCAGTGATCACAGGTTCTGCTCTTGGTTCAACTTCATATTCTAGTTCATGTTTCATTATCCTAAAAAAAATGTATCTCTTAACTTTATATGTTATAGTTAGGTAGTTATATTCTTTATGTCTATATGTCTATTCATGAATTCAATAGTAATTTCAATCTCTTCATGATCAACCACTTACTCACTTTTCATATTCATCAGACGAAATTACACCCAGTTGCTGTGGATGTTGTGGGACATATTTCGTGGACACCCATGCAGGTATTCTGGAAATCATATCTTGAATTATACAAACATGTTTATGATGAAGGTATATTGTAAGATGGCCTACGTAAATATTTTGCAATGTTCATATACCGGTTGTTCCAGTACATGTTTCAATGAATTATCTCAGCCATTTCGAAGGATACAATTAAATTTTAAAATTCTATGATCTTCAATTCGTTCAGGGCACCTTCAACTGAGAAAGACAAAAATTGAACGTCACTTCCGGTTTGACCGGCACCCTGTATATTTTTTACAATTTTTGCTTTCCACTCAAAATTACATTTCCAATGATGTACCACACTTTGTATTTCACATTTGATTTGACGGAGAAAATGACAATTAAAATTTGAAATTGAAATCAGTTATAACTGACATTCAATTTTTTCTGGAGATCATGAACTTTTCAAATTTTCATCACTCGAAATGACTGACATAATCCATTGGAACAGGTATACTGGGACACCCGGTATACCTAATAAGTGGGTACTACACGGAAAAAAATTATTGAATCAACGAAATATTATGTGCTACATCAACGACAAAATATTTTGTAACTGTTACAAAATTTTTCATTCTACTTACTAAAAAACATTTTGTTACTTGAAGGAATTATTCGTTTCTTTGCATTATTTATGCTCAATATTTTGTCATTGTGACAAAACTTTTTGTCGCACTTAGATATAGGACAAAATATTCTGTTAATTCAAATGATTTTTTTTCTGTGTAGATATCTGAGAATATACCTTCTCAAAACTTTTATTCCCAATATCGACGTCACCGTAAGGTGAGTAATAGGACGTCATTGCGCTGTAACTTATTTACGTCATTCATTACGTCAAATGACGTGAAAACTCATGACGTCACCTTGATCATCTGACTGACGTAAAAAAGGTTTCAGTGAAACGTCATCTGGTTGCCTGGACACCGTTGATCATCAAACTGGTTATAAATATGCGTGAACATAACTCGAATTTCCATAATCATTCATTCCAAATTCGATATATCAATAACCACTATATTGTGAACCTACTATGTAATGGGTCGGTCTTACCTACGATTGTCATTTCAATGTCATACAAACCTTTCAGAAAATATATCCGCTTCCCATTCAGAACTAAAATTGAAAACAATTGGTATTATAATAAATAAAACAAGTGAGTTTCTCATACACACCTTTCTGAGATTTGATCGATATGCGAATTTGCGATAGGATTTGCATCAACCATTGCACCTTCATCAACATTCCCAGAGAGTTCCATTGTGCGATTCTTGAAGGCATCACCCCTGCAACCAACCATTTTTTTGAAAAGATAAAATTTTGAAATTTACAAGAGGTCACAGGAGGAATATAATAAATAACAACTTTTTGCTTAACCTGACCCCAATTTTTTTCCAAACGTCACCCTGTATATTTCTTCAATCCATTTGATGGTATATTCATTTTATAAAGACTAACCAAAATATAATTGAACATGCATTCAATTTAGTAGATACATATTTTTCATGGAAATTATCAAGGTTGGCAGAATATACAGGGTGTTTCGTAATATGTGGGACGCACTTCTAGAGGTGATAGGGCGTCTCAAGATAATGAAAAAAGTTCACGTAAACAAAGGCCTTCTACGGCCTCATTTGCGAGATACAGGGCGTTAAAAGTTGCAAATATTGATAGAATTTTATTCATGTCCACCCTGTATGGCTTATTGTGGTGACAAAATTTAGTCTGTTATATGACTGGCACAGTGCCACAATCACAAAATTATATCTATCATGGTTATAGATAGTAATCTGAACAGTAGATGTCTTGAATGGATCGACTATCCGACACCTATTATTATACAGGGTGTATCTAAAAAACAACAAAAAAATTCAAGAGGCAATTCCTTGTGATATGTTTTCATTAGATTGAACTATTGAAATAACAACTTTCTTAGCCTTTGTATGATTTCAGTATCAAGCTCAGTTTCTGAGGAAACAATAATAAAACTCCGATTGGACTTCAAATTTTAATGTAGGTGTTTCAAGACTTCCATTGAGATTACTCGATAACCCCAATTACAATCATTTTGGAATTTTGGGACATTCTGAGTTTTTTTATCGCTTGGAGCGCACGAAAGGGAATCCCTATAATGTTCAAAGAACATCGTGCGTTCCTAGGGAGGATAGGGATACTTCCTCAGGCAATGAATTCCAGAGCCTAGTCGTTCTATGGATGAAGGAGTTTTGATAAAGTGCTGTTCGACATCTTTCGAGGTTGACAACGAAATGATGTACTGAGTGGGCTTGTCTAGTTCGTCTGACTGGTATTACTAGTGAAGGGATGATACCATGGACGCTTATACAGGGGGGGGGGGCATAAATTTATGAAATCAAATGATATCTGTATAAACATCAAATTTTGATGGAGCTGAATTTGGTTATTCGTTTTTTCTCGAAAACTGTGTATCTGTACGAGTTTCAATTCGTTGTGCTTTTTTCTACAACATTACATCTTCTTTTATATTTTTGAATAAAATTTCGAAAAGTTTCATCGCCACCCCATGTTTTTTTCTGAAAAATCACATATCAATACACATAAATAACGGTGCCACTGAGTCAGATTCACTAAATAATGCTATCGATTCAATAACTCTCATGTACCTACTTAGTGATTCAACAGAACATCAAGTATTTTTGTTGGGCGGCTGTCTAGAATTCTATGAAAATTATTTTTTATTTTCAACTCATCACCCTGTATCTCGGAAACGAAGCCTTCTACGACCTATATATGTTTATGGGAACTTTTTTAATTTTTTTGAGATGCCCTCTATCACCCCTTGAAGTGTGTCCCACATATTGCGAAACACCCTGTATATCAATGATAAATATTGGGATATATATCTTGATAAATATCATAATATTTATGCGACGATATTTATCCAGATATATATCAACTTTTTGTTCCTAAAATTCCATTTATCAGTATAAAAATACGACCAGTATTGAATATCGCCTCGGTTCCTTGCGGGAGAGAGAAGGATATATTATGACCTCTCATCACTCAAGTGTTCGGTTTGGAGAAAAATTCACAATTTCAAATAATTTATTGCCATCAGAGTGCTATCGCCACTCGCTGAATTCTACCTATACCGGGTGACACAGGTTATCGGGCCACCCCTATAACTTCTGCATTCGTCAACGGATTCTTCTGGAATTCTGTACAGTTATATAAGCAACTATTTCGGATTTGATCACATTACAATCCAATATGGCGGACTTACGGTTTTTCTGGAAATGCCAGCAATTTTGTTTTTTCAAATGAAACACCCTGTATATTTTCACATATTCAAGTTCAACAGTTCAAAACAAGTGCAATCTTGATGTCAAATGTCATTTATTCCACAGCCTACCTAGTTGAAAAATTATTCTAACTGCAAGGAAATTCATAAACTAGTTGTTGATTTTTGAATGTATACAATTTGTTACTGCACCGAAAAACGAGAAGGATATGTCATTTTGTTCCTTGATGCATGTTCTAGAGAGACGGGTAGGTGGCCCATAGGGGTTCCATTTGAAAAAAAAAAATGTTTTGATCAAAAAGTGATGTGGCTGAATTGATTCCTGGATAAGTGACACAAAAAACAAATTTCCAGAAAAAATTATGTTCTTCTGTTATGTGTGACTCATTGTGAATAGTCTTGACCACATTTCAGTTATCCACGAGGTAATATGAAAAAACAATTTTAATTTAAATTTTTCCGAAAAAATGACATTTGGAATAAAGATTGCACTTGTTTCGACCTGTTGAACTGGAATATGTAAAAATATATAGGGTGTTTCATTTGAAAAAACAAAGTTGCTGGCATTTCCAGAAAAACTAGAAGTCCGCCATATTGGATTGTAATATGATCAAATCCGAAATAATTGCTTATATAACTGTACCGAATTTCAGGAAAATCCGTTGACGAATGCAGAAGTTACAGGGGTGGCCCGATACCCTGTGTCACCCGGTATACTATTATAGAATTCATAAACTTAAAAAACTCATAATTTAAAGAAATATTACATGTATAATATAATAATATATAATATAATTAACCCAGATGATTGATTAAAGTTGTGTGTTATTATTAATAATACAACTTTCTACTTCACCTAGGATTGTATTTCTTCCATAAGGTTTTTTTTTAGCATTCAAGCCATAATTACTCGAATGTTGAAGAAGTATCTCTTTTAATTTTAATGTTTTTTATTTTTATTTTCTGAACCGTCACATTGTTTTTTCGTGGCCGTCCACCCTTACTGCAATCTGTAACTGCAAAATGAATGAAAAAAAATCGAAGCTTAGAACACTTTATAGGGAAAAGTCATTTCTGACCTGAAAATAAGTGAGCCAGCCCCTGAAATTTTGATTCTGACTTTTGGAATATCCTGTATATTCGGCTGAGCTGAGTAAGATTGTTCGAAAAAATAGTCTCCTCATGAAGAAAGAATATTTTCTTCCGTATTTTCGATATTCACAAAGGATACCTCCACGGCAACAAAACAAAACGTGATAAAACTGAGCGAGAGGTCGTTATATGTCTCTCACCCCCCGCGGCGAACCGGAGGGAAAATCAATACTCGCGCGGTGATTCCCCGTCTTTCCTGCAGTCCGCCACGTGCCACTTTGAATTGCATGAACTATGAACTTCAGATGAACTTGAAACTAAACGACAGCATAATATAATATAATACGGCGTTGTTTTTTGCTCGAATATCCGAGAACATCCTATTCATCCAGTTCGCAAGATTTTTATAAAAGAACACACGACTAAATGTGCCCCCAGAGGAATCTGAAGTACCTACCAAAATGAAAATATTTCATAATGTTGTATCGGTTGGCGAACTATATGCAAATACAAAAAATTATCTATATCTAGGTATTCAAGCCTTATTTCATTCTGGTAAAGCCAATATATCTGATAATCTTTCAATTTTCTATACTCAGACTTAGGGTTCAAGTACAAGTACCTACCTA